GAGCGTAGGTTCGAGTCCTACCGACTGCGATTACCTTGATTTACATTTTGGTTTCGTACTATCATACCGAATGTTCTTATTTTCAATTACTTTTGCTTTCTCATGCGTGAAGGAGTCAGTGCTTCCGTAGCAGTCGTGGCCGAGTGGTTAAGGCGTCTGACTAGAAATCAGATTCCCTCTGGGAGCGTAGGTTCGAGTCCTACCGACTGCGATCTTCCTTGTGAGCACCCAGTGTTCACTTTTTTCTTTTTTCATTCCTATCGTTCTACGTTAATGTCTCCTCTTTCGGAATGTTCTTTAACAGCCGGTCGATCAGCTGTGTTTCCTCATTGGTTGCTTCTTTTTCTAACTTGAGGCATAATACAATTTTAGTTTTCAGATTTTATCTGAGAATAAAGAAATAATATTGTTTTCTTATACTATACTGTCTGTCTCTTTTTTTTATAGCACTATATAAAATATTTTCGAACACTTGACACTGATTGCTAATGCCAGAGCAAATAAGAAGTAAATAAGATTTTACAAAATTATTATTGAAGGTGGTAAATAAATTATCTGGTACGAAATTTGAATGTAAAAATAAAGTTGTCGAAAGACACTGAGTGATGAAAAAATAATTTCCACACAAATCAATATCACGAGATTTAACGTTGCATTTGCTTGAGAACGCTCAAATACTTTACAAACGTAATTCTCTGTGCTTCCGAGCGTAAACACGTTTCCTGCATTTTCAAAGTGGATGACTCGTGATCCTTATTTGATTGATTGAACGCGACGAATACAATCGTTGGCTAATGAGTCACGTATCTCTTACCACATTCCAAATAAGTCACGCGAGTTTTTGGCGGATCTCGATCTCTACATCGAAGACAAGTAATCAAGCGTCAACGCGTACTTCCTCTGTTTTTATTATTTCTTTCCATTTCAGGGTCGATGAAGTAATCGTGCAGCGTGTTATCTTGTCCATAATTATCCACGTAAAATTAACGTAAATTTAATACAAAGGAATCTAGGTTTCCTAGCGTGACAACTCTTAAAATTAAATTACACTGATTCTCTATTGTGTGTACTATCAGATTTTAATTTAATTTCATGAGGAGCTTGAAAGTCGTCCTAAAATCTTTAGTCGTGATGAAAATAATTCTGCAATCTCGGAATTTTCCGTAGCGTGTTTTCTAGTTGACAGAATATTTCACTGACATGTCGCGATTATATTTCTATAGGTAAAGTGGGAGAATCGCGTGTATGGAAAGTGCGACAATAGACTGGAATATGTACCCCAACTTACGTAACTAACAAGAGTAGTCAGGATTTTTTGTTATTTTGTCGATATAATTATATAAATATAGTTCTTCTCGATTTTTCTCTGGTCCTAGAAAAGATTTTTATTTTTCGAATCTTATTATATACCATCCCTGTTAATCATCGAGAAACTGCTCATCCTTCTTAAGTTTCTAAAATACAAAACGCAGTTATAGATTTATGTACAGATTTCTACTACGAGTCACTATATATTAAATCTGAATGTAGATTTTAACATTTAATGAAACGAGTTATTGCAAAATAAAGCTTCTCTCATTTTCATCTGTAGTAAATTTATAACTGGCATTAGATAGTACGTGTATATCAAATGATTATTCAAAATACTAACTCGATTACTGATAAGCTACGTACAATCAGTATCGAAAGAGTAAATTGCTGTTGTACAATCTTAGATATCTGTCAAGCTACTTTGTTGTAGTCCCGTTGCTCTATCGAGATTACTTGCACCAGACGTTCATATATAATTAATTTCGGTTAAAAACAGATACACAAATGCTCGTGAATTTACGATGGAACCGCAAGATTGTTCAAAAGAGATTACCAATCGCAACCTGGTTACCGCTGTACAATTGGAGTAAATTTCTGCAAGACATCCTAGCAGGATTAACAGTGGGTCTTACTGTGGTTCCCCAGGGAATAGCATACGCAGTGATAGCAGGACTCTCACCTGAGGTAAACCTTCAGTATCAATATATATCAGACTGCATTATCTATCAATTATCACTACTAGAGATGGTTTTCTCGTACTTTCAATTTTCTAGTACGGACTTTACAGCGGATTCATGGGCTGCTTTGTTTATCTGATCTTTGGTGGAACTAAAGACATCACTATAGGACCCACAGCTGTCACAGCTTTGCTCTCCCAGCCATATGTATTAAAGCTTGGTGCGGATCTTGCGGTAAGATCTCTCAAAGTTTACCTCAAACGCTGTTTAATATAAATGAGATTAATAATAATTATTACTTCAGGTTCTGCTCTGCTTCCTGTCAGGATGTATCATCGTGAGCATGGGTCTGCTGCATTTAGGCTTTCTTGTGGATTTTATTAGTATGCCAGTCATATGTGGCTTCACTAATGCTGCTGCTATATTGTCAGCCACCTCGCAACTCCATACTCTTCTTGGTATTACTTCGAGTAGTAATTCCTTTATTGGTAACATAATCCAGTTCATACAGAACATAGGTAGCACTCGCTTGTGGGATACTGTGCTAGGATTTTCATCGATCGTCTTTCTCATAATATTAAAGGTATAAAACACGAAGACATTCGATAAACGAAGAAAGGTCAAAGTATTGACTGTGATTTCTTGTACAGAATATACCTGGTGAAAGAAGTGGAAATGTTGGCCAGAAGTGTATATGGTTATTAAATATTAGTAGAAATGCTCTGGTTGTCGTTAGTGGAATACTCGTTGCATATTTGTGCTCCATAAATGGACTCACGCCCTTTAAAATCACTGGAAACATAACAGAAGGACTACCACCATTTGCTTTTCCACCATTCTCCACGGTTTACAACAATCAGACGTATAACTTCATTGACATGGTTGATAAGCTGGGTACTGGCCTGATTTCGGTACCTCTAATCACCATTCTAGAAAGTATAGCTTTAGCAAAATCTTTCTGTAAGTAAATTTTATATAAGATAAATAATGAAATTAAGTAAGTGAAACATATCTAACATTCGATTTCTTTTTAGCTAAAGGTAGAGCCTTAGACTCCACGCAAGAGATACTTGCTGTTGGACTGTGCAATGTATTTGGTAGCTTCGTAAGATCCATGCCGGTTACAGCAAGCTTCACCAGGACTGCGGTTAATCACGCATCAGGCGTCATAACGCCGATGGGAGGTGTTGCTACTGGTACTATTGTGCTTTTGACATGTAGCTTCCTGACCTCTACCTTTAGTTACATCCCGAAGAGTACTCTGGCAGCTATCATTATAGTAGCCATGTATCACACCGTGGATCTTAATGTGTTCGTTGTTCTCTGGAGAACTAAAAGTAAGTTAAAACTTTTAAATATCAACCATATTTTAATAGTATTATACCATATCAAATAACGAATCTTTTAAATTTACAGAAATAGATCTTCTGCCGCTTACCGTAACACAATTATCCTGCATATTCTTAGGATTGGAGTATGGTATGTTGCTGGGTATTGCAATAAATATGGGGCTTCTCCTGTATTTCACAGCCAGACCAGGTGTCTCCATAGAGAATAGAGAAGTGGATGGGAAAACAATTCTATTTGTCTCTCCAATGCAATCATTGAGTTTCCCTGCAGCCGAATATCTACGCGAGAGAGTACTGTTCCAGTGTGTTTAACATTGTCCTCTATCATCATGTACATACTTTATTATCCGCAGAAGCAATGTTTGTTTGAACTTTTTAGTTGTGAAATGCGGAACGATTATGCTACGGTAGTCGTGGACGGGCGTCATGTACACAGAATAGACGCCACTGTAGCAAGAAATTTAAAACTGCTGCAGGCTGACCTGGAATCACGTCATCAGACCTTGATATTCTGGAACTGGTGTCAAGATGCCCAGGTACCTCTTACGGGATATGATGATTCCTTGGCGGTTCATTTTCGTACCTGTAGAAAACTTTCAGACATATTTTCAGGTGAGACAGAACTTTTACAATATCTATGTTCGTCAGTGCCGTTGCCTCCAGCGATTCTTCGCAATTAGAACTTTATAAGGAGCGTATTTTTGCACTTTCTTTTTTAGGTTCTGATATTGTCACGCAGACATCGTTGAATGATCTCTGTTAAAAAGTATCCTCTTACGACGTGCTGCAAGTACATTTGTATAATAAAATATGGATGAAATGCATTCAGTGTAGTAATATTGTCATACTGTAAACCTTAATTTGAATTTCACTTGTGCTGGATACTCTTGGCGGCAGTGTTTCTTAGATAGAATATGTGGCGCCATCTATGAATACGTAGTGGTAATGCTTTCAATTATTCAGTGGATACAGAGTCCTTCCATAGATAATGTAACACGATGTACTGTCTAACAGATTTTACCCTCATGGAGCGAAGTAGTTCCAGAAGAAGATGAAGAATGGATTGAAAATGTAAACCCTATATCATTAATATATTATAAAAATCTCACAGTCTAAAAAAAGTAAGGGTGTCCTGATATTAATAATTCTCGAGTAACTTCCCGTGATGTTAATATTAACATCGATGAAAAACCTGTAGAAATTTCATGGAACCACATAGAAGTTTATAACAAACAGTTTCCAATTTTGATCAAATATTAATTTCTCCGTGAAACAAACGTCATTACACTTGAATGATCTAAAAAATATTCTCCAAGGACAATTGAAACGTAACGTATAATCTGCCGACAACTGAAACGTGTTTTCGAAGAGTCCTCTTCCTATGACTAATTAACACGTTGAGCGCGACGTCAGTCCATGGTTACTGACAGTGAACTTAGCGTGCGGCCGGCGTCAGTCCCCAGGGTTAGTTCGGGCGGCGTTGATTTGCGGGTATTGACGATAAGCTTCGCTCGTTCGCTGCCAGTCGAACGGAAAGGACAGCAAAATCGGCGCCGCACTTAACCTGTTAATATAAACGAGACCTTCAGATTATACATTTTTATCGTGTACAGACATTTAGAGATAATTAGTTGGGCTTTAGTGAAAAAAAAAAAAAAAAACTAATATATTTACACACAACGATAAGAAGACTGTTTGCATTTCATTACATAATCGGTTCCACTAGTCCTTGGAATAATATCGTCTAATTAGGTTGATATTTCGGATGAACAACAAGTCGATATCATTATCCGTTATACGTTTCAATTATGTAACTCCATGCAGCTATATGAAAAGCCTAGAGTGGAGGACCTCTTCAAGAATCAAAAGAAGAGAAACTGTGAGGTCGGATGGTTAATCCAGGTCCTACTATTTCAATCTCTCTGTACGCCTGAAGTCAATAGCGACTAGAGTGCAGCAGGAAGAGTAAAAAAACATGGCGCAACAGGAAGAACAAGAGATTGAAGGAGCAGCCGAAGCGTAAAGCGAATGAAATAATGTATTCGGCGCACTCGCGTCGGAATTGTTGACTTTGCGAATGGGAAATTGGATAGGGACACACAGAAAGGGAGAGTAAAGAGAAGGAAGGAAAAGAAGAGAGCGTTAAATAGAGACGAAAAGGAGAAAGAGAATTCATTCAATCGATCATTGCCAAGAGCGTTTGCGCGCGAGTAGTGGCGCCCTCGACGCCCAGCGACTCAGTCTAGTCCCAAACTCAGTCATTCCTACGGAGCGAAGACTCCTCCATCAGAAATTTTAGTGTTTTCGCGCGATACACGCTTCTTGCTAATCGGCTCAATCGTTTCTTAATCCTGACACACAGAGAATCCTTGTCATCGACCACCTGTTCCTCCTGAGATCCTTATCCTCTTTCACGCAGTACATCTCGCATCCTAGTACTCTGAAACAATTTTACATTCTTTTACCATAAGAACTTAGGAATTCAAAAATGTGTTAGTGATTCTAAGATTTTCAGAGCTTCTCGAGCCTTCCTTACCTACCTCTTTTGCGTCCGTTCTCGAGGACGAGTCAAAAAGAAAATGTCTGAACGTCAAAAGGACTACGTCGAGGAAGATCCTGAGCTTCTAGGGGATATCCTAGAGTAATCGTGAGTAGAGAAAATACTTCTCTCTCGACAGATTATCATCAATGCTGCCGGTGGCATTTAAACAAATGCGCGCATCGGACGTCTTAACAGATATTGTCGTGATTATTTAATCTCACGTACAGCCTGGTGTTGCTCAGAAAGTCCTCGAAGTTGCTTGTATAGTTCCATCCTATCAAGTATGCATGATCTTGCTGGGATAGGAGGCAGGTACCAGTCGATATTTAACTTGAATGGATGTTTTTACGTCCATTATAGATCTAGTAGAATCACCGTCTACCCTGATGTTTTTTTTAACAATGTTAACTTCTGAAAACGATGAAACATGACGTTTGGGCGTAGTCTACTAAAAATAGTAACCACTATTAACATCTGAGTGATAGTAGAGAGCTAGGAGTACATTACGTTGATAATGTTTCTTCGATAAATCTTAAGAAATATTCCACAAGTAAGAGGCATCGCGCTTTTGTCATTTTAAAAAATACGTACCGGAAGTCTCGTTCGCTAAGTCTCACTATCCCATTTATTATCTCCTAACGGTTCCCCTGGGATAGATTTTTCTTATTTATTATTTCAGAACCGAGCGGCTCATTCCACGTGCTCGAGAATGTCGATTCCTGGAGCGCTGTAGGTGAGTTTGTGTTTAACGTTCTTGTTTCATTGATATCAGGGATTTATTCACATCCACATGAAAATAATTTCGAGCACGAAAATCCGCTGTAAATAAATGCAAAATCAACAAGGCAAATTAAAATATCTAATTCAATAGTAAGTGAAGCACGTCTTGGTATCTCTGATAATACGACCTCCTGAAGAAGATTTCGTTTACTTTTCTATCGAATCTTTGACTCTCGTCAGCTCTTGGTTCTGGATATATCAGGTTACTATAATATTATCGCACCAATCTATTAAATCGACCTAGAAGTTTCGCGATTAGCCATATCAACAGAAAATAAGTAGTATCGGATTCCTCACATCTTGACGAACCATTGATATTCCGTTATTCTTAATAATTAAACTACTCCTTGAAATTCATGAGCCGTTAAAGATAACTATCTAAAGCATTCTACAGAAATGCGTCCGTTTATCTGCAATCAAAGCGGAGCTTATCTACGGCCGTGGCATTATCCAATTGTCGGATATCAGCAGGTGTCCGTTACACAAGCCGAAAATTCACAACAGCACGAAACGTAATACATTGTAGAATTAGTATGATCGCCCTGATCGTTCAAGATTTAGTAATATATTGTTCAATGTGCCTGAGCGCTGTGGTTAAAACTTTTTTTGCATGGCATTAACATCTTCTCAGACAAGTTCAAGAAAACATTTTTTTTTCGAGGACAGTTTATCTTCCGTTCATTACTATGGACACTGACCTGATGATCTGTCATTTCTCTTGTGCAATTTAGCCAAACGGAATAGCTGTCGATGGGTGTCCGCAGAAAAGGCTCCGGAGGGGGTCGCGGGAGTGCTGGTGTTCTAAAAGAACGTGCCAACATGGCCTTCATGCTGGTGGTCATGTTCTTCGCCGTATTTGGTCTCATCGTACTTACGGAAATATTCCTAATAAACGATCGTCCTGGCTCCAATCTGGGCGGCACAGGAGCATTGGGTGGTCATAGGAATGGTCACAGATTGGCTCTTCCTCCGGATCGACCTGACTACGAGGAGATTGGCGTAAGTCATTGACACTAGATGCTTTATTTTTGTAAAACTTTTAAATAAAAGAAAAACTAGCGAAATGAGCTTAAAGACAGGGGAACGCAAAAGGGAGGGTCGCGGTTTCAGCAATTCGACGTTAATTAGAGAGTGCAGTTTCTGATATAATTCAAGGTAGATTAAATGACCGGCAACGACAAAGCATACAACTTTACCACTAATTACTCGGTAGATTTGCATCTTCCTGTAATGAAAGTCGAGGAGAAGTTACTCTTGCGGAGCAATTCCTTTTGTGGTTCTGCGGTGGCTCGAGGCCTGTGATCCTTTCAAATCTATGTCTGGGTACTTAAGGAGTGCAGGACCAGAAGAGAGAACGTACCCATGCAAATAGGGGAACACGGGTTCGCTATAAAAACAAGAAATTTACAGTTAATTTATTGCCTATGAAAGCAGCAAGTAATTGCTGCTGATACTTCGTCGTTGACAGAATAGAGTAAAATTTATCGCAATCTACAGGCAATGCCCCACTACTTCTGCAGAGCATGCAGAAGACAACTTAAATGCTTGGCATTGGACATATCGAAAATTTACACATCTACGAAGCTAATCTAACTATGCATGAGTTTCCGTAATCCAGAATAAACCTTCCCTAACTTCAATCAGTGGACGTACTACTAGGTGATCCATGTTTGATCTTAGGCCGAGGATTATGCGGGACTGAAGGGTGGCTTTGATGAGCACGTGGGCCTTCTGGTGCGTGGGGACGAAAGCGCTAAACTCGCTGTACCCTCGGATCCTCGGACGTTACCCAGTTTACCACCTAGCTTGGAAGCTCGGCTACCACAACTCGACCGAAGTTTGAAACTCACTAATGCCGAATGGCTTCCGGTTACCAATACAAGGTACTTCCGGCCATTCGATTCGTGATACAAGCCTTTTTTTTTATTGTCACGGTGGTGTTGTATATGGTATTGAAAATCTTAAGAATTAACCAGCCCGCGACTTACTAGTGAATTCTTATTAATATGCAAGAGTACCTAGTAGCGTTTTTATAAAAATAGTTTACCCCTGATAACTTGACCGATAGTATAATATGATCTATGATATTCAATAACTATGTTGGTTAACTCTCTGGCTATCAGTTTCTAGTCCTTTTTCATGTTCCTCTCATGGTTCCGTATTTATCATCAGATACAAGTTCTTCGTATACTCTGCTTACTACGATGACAGAGGAGGAAGTCCCAATGGATTGGTCAGGGTGATTGGTGCGACGAAGACGAGAGGGCCAGAGCGTGTGTGGTGCAGATTCTGGTACAGGACAAAGTACGGGGGAAATACCACAACTTCAGTAACAGTAGCAGCCAAAGTCAAGGTACGGCACGTCATCCTGAAGCATAAAATCGAATGGGAATAAAGATGTCAATATTACAGGTGATCAGAGAGAATTGGAACCTTAAGTACAGTGCTTGTTTCGTTATTTGTCCCTTACCGAAAGAATCGCCAGCCTCGGGCAAGGTTCCACATTCTGTAAGTGTCGTAGCAAGGCTAAGAGCTCCACCAACGAATCACATCCTGGTGCAGAATCGTCCTGACGATAGACCCAAGATCAGAGAATCTTTGGCCATCTGCGTAAAACCCTTGCACTACAATTACAATAGAGTACGTTCGTTAGAATTCACACTTTATATTAAAAATCCTATAAATTTTGGAATTTCATCTATTTTCTTACATCTCCATAGGTTCTGCAGCTGGTGGAATTTATAGAGCTTCACAGACTTCTGGGTGCGACTCATATCACTCTATATAACGACACCCTTGGCGTAGAAGCAGGCTGCACCCTTAGGGAATATGAGCGACAAGGTTGGATTACTTTGTTACCTTGGCATCACCTGGATATGATATCCCAAAGAGAAATCCGTACGGAGGGACTTTTTGCAGCCCTGAACGATTGTCTCTACAGGTCCATGTACAAGTATGATTACGTTGCACTCCTGGACCTTGACGAGTTCATAATTCCTAGACACAACTACACCATACCTGATCTTATGAAGTAAGTAACCATCAGTTATACACTCTTAATACTCAGAGCATTCGTGACAAAACGATTTTGTCGTTACAGGTGGACAAACAGTCGCATCAATATAAAATCCGCGGGAGCGTATTCCTTTCAGAATGCATTTTTCTATCTTCAATGGGCAGACGATCCCAACGTGGCACTTAGCCGAACACCAACCGAAGCAGGACTAATTACCCTGAGAAAGACTCGTCGCAGAATGAAACTACATCCACATAAACAACGTTCTAAATACGTTTGCAAACCGGAGTACGTGGTCGAGGCTGGGAACCATTTCGTCTGGGAGTTTATTCCCGGTCACAATACACTGAATGTTCCATCGGATGCAGGAATACTCCACCACTATAGGGTCTGTGAATTTGGAGGTGACGATTGCATCAAGACCTCCTCGGTGGTCGATCGAACAGCCTACAAGTACCGGAACAAGCTCGGCCACAACGTTGCCAGGAAGTGGGACGATCTTTTGGAGAAGTGTCCACTTCCGGAACTCGAGGCCATTCCTGCACCCCGGGCTCATCCAGAGACGAGCCCTGTGGCTAAGGTGGTTAGGTAGCAAAAGATGACCGACGTCCTGTGGGAACTTGTCAACTTCACTGGTACACCCAAGTTGGCTAGGACTTACTTTTACAACTACAACAACCTCTGAGGCTTCAGGAATAGACAGGATCGGATGGACCCGGTGAATTCTCTTGGCTGACAATGAGATTGCATCTCCCAATCACAATCAATGGTGTCTTCTCTCGCAATCTCTCCGTTTTCCATTGGCTCGCTCTCTGCCTGTCTCTCTCTCTCTCTCTCTCTCTCTCTCTCTCTGAGAGTTTATCTTTCACCTTGTTTACTCAATGAGCTACAGCCACGAGAATGAGGATGCCTGGACGTCGGTACTGCAAGGGAAGGAACCATCATCAGGACAAACAGTTTTCGAACTGCAAGGAGAAGAACACGTTAGTTTATGGTGATTAATAGTATTTTTCTACGAGGAGGCGATTAAGATCTGATGGCATACGAACGCGATTCTCTTTTTTCACACTCTGTGGTGCTTCTTCACGATTTTATATAACTAAAATATGCATATCTATACACAGATAGACGTCGCGAGGACGAATTTATTGTTAAGGAGGATACTTGAATTGTATCATGTATCCTCATCTTTCCTTGTAATCTGGTGAACAACTAGAAACATGGATAGCCTACTGAACTCGGACTAATAAGCAACTAGAGACTAACTCATCAACGATATTCGAATAATACTCTTCTCCTTTTTTCTTTCTTCTCTCCTCTTTCTTTCATTTTCATTTTTCCTGATCGGTTATATATTGATCCTCATCTCAGAATCAGTCACACTTTCTGTTTCTATATTTTTCCTCTATTCCTACCTTTTTTACATAACTGACAATTCGAAAACGCATATTTACCAATACGATTCGTACCTAGTTCTAGTACACGTATGCATAACATGATAAATAGGCGAATGTAATTAGAGAAACTTTTAGCTCAAACACTTTAGTATATATATATATATATATATTGATGCGTGCGTGGATCCACCCGTATAAAAGAATATTAATGGTTTTGTCGTATAAAAACATTGCTCTAGAAAAATTTTATGTTAAATATCCGATGGTAGATTCACGCAGCGCTAATAGGCACTACAGGATTAATCATCGACAAAGTGGGACTGACGTGCGAAATTCATTAAACGTAGTACCAAGTGTAAATAATAACGAAAACGTGAATTACGAAGTATTAAGAATCAAAGGAGAAAAGATATTGTTTGTGTAAACAAATTTGGAATCCTTCGATACAGCCAATAATAAGGTATTTCTATTTCTTGTGGGTAAAAAGGGATTTTTTTTAAACCTAACTTTTCTTAAAACGAATCTTTATTACGTGATGACGAAGATAAAAATCATCATTTATCCAAACATTATTGTATAGTAATGTATTCTATCTAGTAATTGTATACTGAATTATTTCACAACCTTTATATTTAAAAATCTTCATCAGAATGATCGATTTTGCTAACAGCCCGTTTCTCCGGTATCTTTAAATCAAATGTACCGATTTCGGGATCTCCAACAGAATTAAGAAGGTCGTCCTCTTCGTCGTCGTCATCCAAGTCACCATCAATCAATAAATCACTGTCACTGTCGAGTGACCCGCCACTGTCATTATTTTCATTGATAATTCCACGCTGACGGCCTGACATACTGCCGTAAATGCGTCGCTGAGGTATATGCACTCTGGTGGCTCTGTCGCCTGTACCATAAATTGGAAATTGCGCAACAGTTAGTGGATTGAAGATTTGCTAAATAACTAATGAAATGGAATCAAACAAATTTGGTACTTACCGGGTTTAGTACGCACTGCCGAATTCGTCTTCTCCAAGGATTGTTTGTCCCCTGCCGTAAGACCAAAAGATTCTTGTAGGTTGGTGGCAAATATAGAGTCGTTACCTTCCATCATGCTCTCGAAACTGACATCTTCACCCCTGAGCTGTTCCAATTGTTTCTTCGTGGCAGCTTGCCTAGTGTTACAAAGAATTTAATACATAAACTAAGAAAGCGTCAATCCTGTTCGACGTTCCTTGACGTGACAAAATTTAGGATGGCTGACCTTCTTTCAAATCGTTCCTGTTCCGCTTTAGCAGCATCTTCGTACAAATGTTCTAGGTAAGCAACATAACGAAATTTTTGCAGATAAATCTCGTATAGTGATCTCAATTCAACTTCGAGTTTTTCAAATTCCTCCATAAAAGCTGGACGAACTTTACGTAAAGTCTGAAGACGCTTTTGGTTACGGTCAAGCTCTACACGGCGTCTCTCGATACGTGCGTCTAAACTTTGCTCAGTATCTTTGACACTATCAATTTGTTTTCTTGTGTCCTCAATCTCAATCCTGGTCCCTTCTAGGACATCCCGCAAAGCATGCTCGATCTCCGAAGTATCAAATTGCCGAGATACTTTCGTATTCCGAATTTCTCGAAGATCAACTTCTTTCCCAAGTAGGTCGAAGAGAGTAGCACCATTAACAGTAAGATGGCTTGCCAACTGCCTTGTTGATTTTAACTCGTTAATCTTGTCGGATATATTGATATGCGAGGCGTCTTCGCTATCCCCAAGAAGAATATCCTTTTCATTACTACGATTTTGGGCTTCGTAAAGTAATGATGTTATCTTCAAAAGTTCCTTAACAGCATAGCCGTCTGCCATATAAAGCTTTTTCGTGTTAAGTTTTATATTCGCCTTTATCGCCTGTGGAATACGAATAAGATGCCATCTAGATTGTTCTATTGTAACAAACTTAAACACTTCATGCAAAGTATATTACCATAAACTCAGCAACATTGCGGATAAGTGCAACTCGATCTTGTTCTGTATTATGCTCCACCGGTAGATCCACGTTAGGATCGAATCGTCTTAGAAGCCACACAAGAATTTCCGCAACTAAAGGAAAATTTGGCAGACGGAAATTCGATAGCGATATTAATCTGGGATATTCCAACACTCTTGCCATTTCTGTAAAATCTATGAAATACACACGGAGTAATTAGTGAGAAATTCTTTTAAATTCTATGTATAGTAGATCGGATAGGTAATGGTTACATTTGATTTACTTACTTCTTAAATCACGAAATGACATTTTTAATATATTAGAATAGAACGTAGTCACTGAACGTGCCACTACTGACGATATGATGCCATGTGGTGTTTAGTTTTATGCTGATGGAAGTTGCCATGGAAACCTTCATTGGAAACAATAGATAGGATACATAACCACAATGGTAATTACAATTGAAATACAACTTACAAATAGTATTTGAAAACACTGAATAGTTTATTTGAAGTATTTAGTATCTACTACATAAATGTATATTAGAATCTATATATCAATATCACTGCCTCGTCTTTGTTCTTTGATGTCTGATCGCATTCTTTTGACAAATACTCTTTCTCTCGCTACTTTTATTTGTCGTTTTCTTAAAATCTCGCGTGTCTTATCAGAAATCTCAGGTTTTTGTTCCAAAGTCTTTCTTATTAAAGTTCGTAGTTTTTCCAAAGCATCGGCTAAGTTAAGTTGTTGAGACCTGGTTAGGTCTGATTTGATTATTAAATATCCTTCTTTGGAAATTTTTGTCTTATTCTAAAACAAAATATTAATTTAACTCCATCTATGCATAATAAATGTCATTGGAGAATTAAAAACTTACTTGTTCGATTAATTTAGACCTGATGTCTTCATGTAACCATGTGGCATTTGCTACGTGAAGTCTAAGATCAACTTTGGTATTAACCGTATTAACATTTTGACCTCCAGGTCCACTGCTACGGCTATATGTAATGTCCAGTTTTTCCAATGGAACAAAACCGTCAAACTTGGCTTGAGGATCTTCAGGAACCTGAGGTAAAAGTAAATAAGGTTATCCCGTATGTTTCTTATGATTAAAACAACTTGTCATGTCTTGATAATAATAAAATCTTATGTAGTATATCAAAAGATATAGTAATATCTTACGAAATTCGGTGTAGTAATTTTTAAACTACTTTTTGGATACAAATTTTCGAGTGCATAAGCACTTTTGTAAGATAAAGTTCTACCAAGACCACAAACATGTCCCTGATTAGTAACTTCATTCTTGAATATTTTCAAACAATATCTACTGACGAAATTCATCGCGTCGCTGCTTTTATTTTTCACAATTACTAAAAAAACCTAACAAAATATTTTTGGCGACAATAACACACCAAATCCTAACATGGACGCAGCCATGTCACACTGACCGATATATCGTACAACGATATCAAGAAGTATCGATTAACGATATAATCGCAGCAAGTCAATTCGAGATGCGAGATAAGACCTCATCGAGAATCGAAACTTGAAACTTCGTTCGCCATTGTTATCCGCTACGCTTCGACTCCCAGCCTAAGGTGCATTGCAGTAATCTTAGTCTTGCAACAACATGATTGCTCAAAAGAATTTTAAAATCATGCTAACGACCATCAAGCCTCCTCTAAGTAGTTAAGTACTGATATCGAATGTACTGCAAAGAAGACCGCAAAACTCGACATTTAACTAGAAAATTTCTTATACAGATTTCAATCTGAATGAAGTAAGGCGCTCACGTTATCCTTCCGCATCTATTAAAGTTTCTGATATAATATACTTATATTACATAATCAAAAAAGTTCAGCCTTAGCATACCATTATTATTCTGATTATAAAATCAATAATTTTCTTCTCTGTTGAATATAGTACAACCAATAACTGACAAGAATGACTTAACTATATAAATAGCACCCTGATAAGACGTCTGTGAGGGGTGTGTATCGCGAGACTGATAACTCGAAAAATATGAAAATGAAAGCTGCGTTTCGTTCATCCTTGGATATAGGAAGAAAGTGATACGAGTCATCGAGATGTTGCACAATTGACCGCGTGACCGGAGCCAAGGAAAAGCATGTGCATCTAATGATTATTACTACCTGGGTACGGTTATGACAGATGGCACGCGAATGAACTTTTAAATTTCTCACGTGCCAGAAAATCCATATAGTTAACTTAAAACTATCTAACACTTTACCAGAAATAAAATTATAGAGTGGAAAATTGTTCCCGGAAAGTGGTACCTGCTTAGAATTAAATGACAACAGTCTCCTTGCGAAGGTCCGAATGAATTTGGGTTAACGATTCGCCGTACAATAATGATCACGTGGTAACCGGCAAAAAGATAAGAAGAAAAGAAAAGGATCGAACGGAAAAAAGAAACCATATTCTTGCACATTCTCGCTCTGGGACCTTCACAACGTTTACATTTTAATACTACAGTTTCCTATAATAGGTAATAGTGGAATTCAGCTGTTCGCATTTCGACTTTACGTTGTTCGTTTACGCAATGATCATTGAACTGATCTAGCGTAAGAAAGCCCTAGTCTGATGACAATATCGATGACTAAAGATTGCACAAAATTTCACAGAGGGTGTGCAATCACGTAGAGTGACCATTTAAAGAACGGTATGGCGAGTAATGGCTCAGAGAAGAGAGAGGGGTGTAGAATAGCAGTTGTAACGTAGCGAGGGAGGCAGTTCAGGACTGGTGAGCCTAGTCACTAACTTTTTAAGCAACGGGCACATTCTGTTCCTGTCGTGCGTAATCGTGGTAGCGCGTGCGTGTCCAGGCCAAAACTTCGCTCGATTATTCGAGGAGAATTAGAAAGGACATATGATACGACAGACTGTTTTTGAGCTATGAAGGAACCTTGATTTGTTTTCTCATCTGGTAAACGGACTCTTTTGATTTGTCGACTTTTTCGCATCTTCTTTGAATATATGTGATATTTATTCTAGTATATGTAGAATATACACTGAGTGTACGTATACACCGAAGAATTTGTATGCATGAACATGTTCGTAAGAGGCAAGAACTCGTGATCCAAACCCGGAACCGGATTCGCGCAAGATATTTTGGAAAAAGATGATAGTATACTCTAGACTCTAAAGTCTCCCTATTAAGGGGGCATATACGAATAGAGTTAGTGTTTTGAGGGTCAAATTCTAAAATCTTTTGACTTCAGTATTTTTTTGTAAATTCCCTTAAGAGGACTGCGTACCTCTTATTATTATGCAAGTAAAATGTAAATGAAAATCGTGAATAAAAATGTTTCAACCGGAATTCTTCCGCAAAGCAGACTTAAGCGCACGTAATATAAGGTTGACAATCATCTTAACAAAACTCACAATAATTAATTAACAAATGAAAGAGTAATTCGACCCGAATACTTCAATGCAAATATTATGCAGTTTATATGTAGTTGTATATATATTTCAACGCAGTTTTAGATTATTTATTGCGAATACGGTCTTAAAATGATTGTTAACCTTGGAGAACGTGCGCCGAACTCTTTTCTTAGAAAAGAGTCCCTACCAAAATGCTGTTATTTAAGATTTTCGTTAACAGTCTACTCGTACGATAAATAAAAGGTCGCCGAGTTCTGTTAATAAATAATAATTTTCCAGGAATCCAAAAAATTCACAGGAAAACCTTATCGTATGTCCAGTCAAGTTCTCATCTGAAACTTTGTCTACACATCTTAAACGAGATCTATTCGGTTTAATTCTTCAGTGAGCGTGTTTTTTTTTCATATAAAATATACAGGAGTCGGACCGAACGAGTCAACTGGAGAGTTAATGGACGAATCTGCAAGTCGACTATTGCGTGACGTAGAAAAAATTTGCTCATTATGCATGTGTAGATTGCGAGTGAACGTCGCATATAAATATAATTTTTGAGTCTCGGCTCACGTGGTGATTTTTCGTGTTTGACATTCTTGTTTGTTGTATCTATAAATATCTGAACACCTGAGTATATGAGTGTGCACACCTTCGCGTATACGACATATAATCAAGGAACAGGATTCCCCTCGTGACACGTTGACTACATGTATAGCCAACGTTACCTGTCGCGTTGACTGTTGCTTAAAGGCATTTTTGAAAATTATACTAAACGACCATCATGCGATCGGCATGTATTTGAACTCCTTGTATTTGGTGTCAAAAAGCCAGCTGGGACGTCATTTCGAATTTTCATGAAAAAGCATTGCTTTCAGAGACCTGATTGTAATGTGCATTTGTGGTTTTATAGGAGTCGTCGCTTGTATGCTGAGGATCATACTATGCTGAGAGAAGCAAATAAGATATTTCACAAGACGATCGATTGGTCGCTTCGCGCAAGAGGAGTTAACCCGCTGCCTCTAGTCGTCGGTGGATGTCACATGCACGGATGCTTCATGATGAAACTCCCTCGTGATCGCCCACACGGATGTAGCCATGGCAGTTACGTCAACCTGGCCAACACCATGATTCTACCTAGGCTCACGCGTATGAAATTTACACGAGACCATGACCCACCTCGGGAGATTTATTCGCAAAGAAAAAGAGTGAGCAACGTGCCGAGAACTGTGAGCCTTCCACGTGGGGAACGGCTCTTTAGAATAACTGTGAGAATACTAAAATCAAAGGATGTTAGAATAAGAGAATGATATAATGGGATGGTCAATCGAAGAGGATGTGGAAGAAGGTACAAAGCAATGGACGTCATAAATACGTACGCATTCGTTCTACGTTAAAGTTCAGCTACATGGAACTCATTATCATGATGCGTTGAGTAGTCAGAATCGACAGGCCTATTATAATTACACGGGAAAAACACGTAGAACGAAAGATTCCTTTGAATAATAAAAACATCCATTACCTCAAGGGTGTTTTTCACGATGATTCGGTCTCTTACAGTTCTTTTCTTATACTCTTTTTAATACTTTTATTACGGGGCGGATTGGATTTAGCGGAAAGTCAAAATGTTCACCGGTGACCTAGTGGTATTTCCGTTATTTTTATCTCTTTTGCTTTTACTTTATTTATTTTCTTCCAGACATTCAAGGTGTATCGTTTAAACGTTTGATTAGGAGAAAGCGTTAAGCTATCCACGAGGATGATGCTCCAGCATGAAAAAAAATATAAGAGAAACCCACAATGGATCCGAATAAGAAACACTGTGATGAAGATACTGTTGTATCTTGTTGCACTGAAAACAATATAAAGAATTATGAGAAATATGCGGGTAAGAGCCTTCAGCCCTTCTTTGAATAATCTTTTTAGTCATTAATAATGATCAATAACCGTATAGCGCCTGATGACCGGGACAGAGGAACAAAGCAACGAAGGTTACAAGAACATGGAGAGTTACTCATTAAGGCAAAGTCATTAAGATGCATAAGAGGAAATGATCTGCGGACGAGTCGTCTTGATTCCTACTCAAGCTAGGATAAAAAATGGGACCCTGGACAAACACGATGTTCAATCAAGCTTTGCTTCATCCTCGGAAGAACGCAGTATTTGAGTGTCATCCGAGTTCTTGTGCAAGAGAATTCTTCCTTGCGCTACCGTGGCTGCTCGAGTGCTCGACTAAGGCAGAGCAAACGTTATGAAACAAGGATGTCTCGGAAAGCAGGTCAGTGCACGGCTCGTTTATCTTTACTCATTCCTAGATCGCTTCGCATCACCTCGCTTCCTTCTTCCTTCTCTTTGTTGTACTATTATTCTTACCTTCTCTTTTCCCCTTTATTCTCCGTGCTGCTATAACGTACCTGGTCTCCGGTTTCAGATACACTGGATTCTTCAACTCGATCTATGCTAGAAAGACAGATTAAATAGTCAAATCGAGCCAAGCCCCCGTTAAAGCGGAGCAATAAGGAGGAACAAGTTGGATTGGTACAAAATGTCCTTGTTGGCTCTGGATCTACGTCAAGTCCTTGACTGGGTAGAATGCAATTTCGTTGAGAATCTATTGAATTTATCTAACACACTTAGTACACACGTGTACCGATTATGAACTGGACAAAACTATCTCTTGCTACTAAGCAAAAGTCGTGCGGGACCTTTTCCTAAGGAATGTTCTTTGTCGATGGCGCAGAAAGTGCCGATCTCATTCCAAATCCTCCTAAGGTCTCTATTTGTCATTCAACATCGACTCTACTTGAAGAGGATGCTAATCGTTCGATGCTTCTAAATTGGGAGTAACTAGTGGCGCTCTCTATTATCAATTTAAATTATGTACGCGAAAGTATGTATGTAGGCAGCTGGACGTAGAGATAGGTGTGCGAGGAGGAGTGCTGTAAGCTCATGCAAGCCCTGTCACATATGGATCAGTCATTGAGTAATAACGACTCACTCTCGCTGCTCATACGGGCTCTCCCGACATACTGACACGAATATATGTAGGTAATTCCTACGCATTGATATCAAAACCACGAGTGGACTACCTTGTACATGTTCCTGGCTTTGGAAAACAATTTCCAATAATCTAATACGGTGGACGTACCCGAGTCGTAGACCGGTTGCAGAGGCGACCTTTCGAATTTCACCGAAACCTCGCTGAAATCTCTCTTTCTTTTCACAGAGGGCGTTGTACAGAATTCTCTCACTAATTTTCTCGCTCACTGGCTCAGTAGCTCACTAGTACACTGACAGATTTACTTGTTCGTTAGCCCCGGAAGCCATCAAGACACCTCTGGATTATATGTCTCTCGATTAAATCCTCCCACAAGGCGTTCGACTCCTGACCAAAGCATCTCATTTTTTTCTACGAGGGTGTCTCATCAGGGAATTCTAATTTCGATCTAGTAGGAGACATAAAGTACGCACCGCATCGTGGTGCAAGTGAGCAAACTAACTGGTTTGTAAGAGTGCGAGTGAGAGAGGTAGTTCAGGATAGTGGTAACTCGAGGTTGTTTATAACATCACGAGGTTGCCAAGAGAAAGAGGGACGCTTCATGGCTCCTTCTCTGTCTTCGTTCAACACTTTCACTGAGTCCCGTGACTTCGTCCTCCTTCACTCCACTATACCACCTCTTCACGAGTTATAATACCAACGACGTGCTTCCTTCTCGTTCCTCCTCGATCACTACTCGACTCACAATTATCACTTTAGCATTTTGCACTCTACTTCCTATTTTGTAAGGTTTCATGTTGTTAGAGGATACTCCTGGGAACTCTTGGGCTGTGAAAAAAGGTTACGAAAATTTTACTTTCAAAATTAAATTCATAGGTATACTAATCTAATGAATATTAATATATCATTCAATTGGTTAAACATTTCATGTTATCACGAAATATCAATGACTATTTTTTCAGTACCAAAGTCACCGAAAAACGTTGGAACAGTTCATTTGTATGAATATTACTGTAGCTGCGGCAAACTTCTAGTAGATTTCACATTCGTAAGCATATTTACGTCGTAAGGAATCATACATGATAAATTAAGTCAAATCAAATGATCTTTATCGTCGAATATTTTCATCGACGTCATTACTACTTCCTTCTTATCGTTAATGGTATTCTTGTTATTGACATTAGCGATAGAAGCGAGTACTTTCAATACTGAAAAATAATGACATACTATTCCTTAAGATTAGCATGACTTCTTTTTAGCATATCCTAATTTGGATTGTTGGCTTTCAGAATATGCTTGGCATCAAATATAACAAAGGTGGCACAATCTGTTATCTAAAAAGATGAAGAGACAGAAGGGAAAATGTGAAACAAATGGACAAGGATATATTAAAATGAAGAATAAAATGACAGGAAAATCATCCAGAATAATAGATTCCTGCGTACTACGGGTTCAAAGCTCTTAAAGCAGGAAGTTGAACCGCGATGAGGCCTCAGGCACACACTTGCCTTGGTCTCTTAGGATCTACAACAGTTACTCTATGTCTTTCTCCATCTCTTTCTGTCTCTCTTATTCTCTCTGTGAGACGCACTCGCACATGATTATCCTTTTTGCATAATACGGACAACGTACTTCGTCTCTTCTTCAGACTCATCATGGAGTTCTTCATTAAAATCTGTCTATGGGATGTAGTCGGTGAGTTACAATGATTAAGTGCAAACGACCACATTGAAATGAACTGTTGATAAAGAAAAAATTAATTATTCGTTACAGGCAGAAGGGTCAAGGTTATACAGCATTACAGATCTGGAAAAAGTGATATTTATCTCTAAAATTATCAGCGATATCGGTTCCACCACTAAGTGAGAACGTGTCCCAGTTACCAGTAGAGCTATTGGTGACCCCGATGCGGTAGAGTTTACCAATTATCAGATACCTCAGGTAAATAGTCACAGGGCCGGAAAGAAGAGACCAAGCGTAGATATTCATGTTCACTGCATTATCCTGTTATATGGGATACACGAGTAGTTACACAATAAGTTAACAATGTTAGATAATACAAGAGAGAATAATACATAGAAAGCATAAGAATACATTTCAGGGGATCCAACTCATAGATCACATGTCGACAACCTCACTTAGGGGGTGCGTTACGCAGACTCAGCAGGTGGGATCGAGCAGCTATGAAGTAGGAGGTCTCTTTTCTGGAGTGGAGAAGGTGTAGTCTGGTAAATACCAGAAGCTCACTGGCGGGCAGCAAGCAGTCGAACGCGAGGTTCCTTCCGCGCTATGCGCTCGCGCTTGATACTATCACCGTTTGCGAGGCATCCTATAATCAGTGCGCTAGTAGCTTCCTTTTCATTTTCCTCTTCTTCTTTTTCCTACTTCTACTTTTAAAGTGCTTCTTATCTTCTCTTTTCCCCCTTTTGTTGTACTACAGGTCTCCCCTTCCCTCGAGATCCTACATTCGATTTCACCCTCGAGCTGTGGAAAGACATTCTAGCACTGTAGCTCACCACTGGAGAGTTCAGTCTTGACTTGTCGGGGTATCGGATCTGGTCTTTCTCCTGTTGATCCTCATGGTGTCCTCCTCGTGGGAAGACAAATGTCCTCAGTGTGACGCGACGTAGAGACAGAGGAATAGAGAAAGTAATAGGAGAGAGTGTAATAAAGGAGAGAGAAAGAGACAGAGAGAGAGACTCTTTAACGTGGGACTTTAATCAAGAGAAACTTCGAGAATGAAGAGGATTATATTTGCTCGGTAAGTCTGTGTGACAAACGGATTCTTTATAGGATTAGTATTTAGATGACATTGTTATTTATTCAATATTTATATTATATGCTTAATATTTTGCATCTCTATAAAACACTAGGTTGGTGGAGAACGCTACTACTTAAATACATAGGAGAGGGCATTGACTAGTAGAAGAAGCAGACATTAGTCGGACAGGGCTTATCTCTCTGTCTAAGATTATCTGCTAGTTATAGAAACTTCCTGCAATTTCTCATCTGTCAGCTTGATTTGGGCTTTCTTGACGAGTGCTGTTTTACATAATCGAATGTACAGATACACAGGAAAGTCTCTATAATAGAAACCTCATTGTCAGCCTGCTCTCTAGAGACTTGACGCGGTTAGCGTCGGTGTGTGGCAATCATAAAGGAGCGTTTGTTTTTAATTGTAAGAAAATCAAGCGAGCAAGTAGACTTCGTCATGAGCAATCTAGAAGTGGGAAAGAAATTGTTGAAGCGTAAGAAATCTGAAAGGACGTGATACTCTGTGAAATTTGTTGGATAACACTAACCGAAGAATATAAGCTTATATCGCTCTAGGTTCATTTGTTAGAAACTTTGCAATCGTATATTTGATAAATATGTTTGTCGTACCATGAAAGCCTTTCGTCATTCATATTCTTGAATATGTTTTTTTAATACTTACCTACATCATTCTTCTAATCATTTTTACTCCCTGTTTATTGCAGATAAACTTATCGTTGATCATGGTGGTCCTTGTATCAGAGTTATTTGCTATTAGTATGAAGAATAATCAGTTTACTCTTGTCAAGTTATTCTGGTGCGTCGTTCACTTGTAAATCTATATAAATTCACGGTAGACCGATCGTGTTTCATGCACGCTTTAATTAGTCAGTGGTCGTAGGGCGGAAGTTAAAAATTCCTCTCTGTCTCCTGTTCTATCAATTTCGCTCTTTCTCTAACTCTACTTTATTTTTCATTTTATTCTGTTATATTATTGGCAGTGAAGCTTACATGAGAGAACTGGGAACTCCTGTATCTGGTCATTGAGAATATCGGATGGTGAGGAGTTCATTCAGAAGTAGCAGAATATAGATAGTGCTACTGATGATTCTTATGGCATCAGTGAATACACAATGGGAGGCTTGTTTATTCTGTACCAGCAACCAACGACATTTCGGATAACCTATCACGATTTACTACCTAGAGTCATCCTGATCTACATGCTCTTAGGCATCGTGTACTTCCATCCTTGTGAACTCTCTACAATATACAGAGCGTATCCAGCGTTCCTCTCTCTCTCTCTCTCTCTCTCTCTCTCTCTCTCTCTCTCTCTCTCTCTCTTTCTCTCTCCTTAATAGTTATTAAGTAATTGAGGAACGTTGTCTTGGAACGAGCAAGATGACGAAGTCAAGGAGAACCGCTTTGCTCCCATCTTCGACTCATCTTCTACCTTACCACTAACTTGTCTTCTCGTGATAGCTTCTATCTCTTAGGTTTATTTTTCTTAAATACTTATTATACAGTCTTATCAATTGTATTACTTTCCAGTGTCCTGGTATCCAGAGGATTACGTGCCTACTGTGTCATTAAGAATTATAGTATCAGGATCACAACAGAAGGTCAAGACAATTACAGGACCCCTCGCGTGACCTTCGCATAATCAAAAAGGGAAGTGGCTTCTTCTCGAGTGGCAATCTTAGTTAGCGAAGCAAAAGTTCTTCCGCTCTGATCAATGCGCAGTCTACTTTCACCAGGTTATCTGGCTGCCCGAATACCTGCCCAGTTGTCTCGTAGCCGCGAGCAGCAATAATTCAGAAGCAATACTTCTTTCGCTGAGTGCGATCATCGACACAAAGTTATTTTCAGAGTTTCAATAGTCACAAACTAAAACTGTTGGGCCCGAAAGTGAAGAGTTTTAACATATGAAATCTCACCAAGTTTCACGAATGGCTCCGTACCGTGGGTCACACGTGTGGCGCCCTGGGCTCACCGAAAGATTTCTCTCAGATCCGTTGACCCACTGACACTGAATTTATACATTGATCCCATACTTGCTCTTTCACATAGGGCACGAGCTATACGTCCCTACACGTGAACAACCACTGGACAACCACTCGATCCTTGACCTACGGTCGGATCATATACTAGAACAGCAGCTAGAACTCCAGAAGACTTAGAGCAATAATAGCTACCTTTGAGACTTTCTTCTCAGTACACCAGGTTATCCTTCCTTTCTGTTCAAAGATTGCCATAATCCACCTTGGCATTGCTCCTGCTCTCTATACCTAGTTATAACAACCGGCTAGTGTGTAGCTCGAATATGAAAGGTAACCCCAGAAACATTGCAGAGACAAGAGTGAAGGGAGAGGACTCAGTCTGTACCCTGAGGCGTCCGATCGTCGTCGTGAACCTCACATCTCCCTGGCTACGCTGCTCCCTCTCCAAACTTTGCCTCGGGCCAGGAATTTCGACTTCCTACCAGGAAACATACACTACACAGATTGCACACTACCAGCCTACGTGTTTATCGTTTACTCACTGAATGTTACTCTACGAGTTCTCTTTCTTCCTCGTTCATTCAATATTATAGTTTGAAGATAAATCTTATTAGTATAAGGAGAAACTGATGAATATTGATACAGGAACGTGGCTTCTCTTATAGCATTAAAATATTGTAAAGCATGTAATATGCTAAGAGAACCAGTAGGATCAAGGGTATAGGAATTTTTGAATTGGTTGAGATGCCAAAGTATACACGCACGAAGAATTTCCACGTGACGCGTGCATATTCGTCTGTCTCTGTGTCTATCAGTTCACTCGAGAGAAAGTACGAGTCCAAAGGCATCCGTGAGCTCACCGCATACCAACTTCAACGCGTTCGAGTCGCAGACATGAAAACACGTATATCTGTGGATTACGAAAATTGGACTTTCTCAATGAGATGAGAATGTCGGTTATTATTTTTCTTTACTGCGATTGAACTACAAAAATATTTTTATACGCATGTAATAGATAATAGAAAATTCCTTAATCCGAGAAGCAGACAGCTATTTAGTTTGTTCATTTTTATTTTCAGAACCTGCCTAGGCGTGCTCTCTGCAGTTTTTTTGGTCGCCGCACTTTCCCCAACGCATCATCGGTTCGACCTTTCAGGTAAATTTTCGACGAGAAGTTTCAAGTTGAGATATTTTATTCCATCCAATTCACAAATCAGCTGCTTGACAAACGACGTTAAAGTACTATCCGTCAAGTCCTCTCTTGTAGTGCATATAAAGATATGCAATGTATGAGGCAAAAAATGGACAATACAGAGATAACTCTCACGAGTCCCTCATGGAGAATCACACGGCTTCGTCGTGATTATTAATGATAGACGTGTTAATGTCGAGTTTGTCTTTTGCATTGTGAACGTCGAATATCGTTGAGGAGCTGGATGACTGATTCGTTGGCGTAATTTGTGTTTCACTTTCCTCCTTTTGTTTTTATTCCTCTTCCGTCTCTTTTTCTTTGTAAGAATTTTTCTCCACGCCGCGTCGACCTCAGGTATTTTTCTGTTATAATCAAACTGCAAGAGCTAATCACGCGAGTCTAACCTCACCTACATTCATGGGTTCTTATTGGTTATCTGATTTAATTTCGACTGTAACGGCAAAATACGTCTTATCGTTTCATCATGCTCATCTCATTCACCGCGTTCGTCCAAATCATCTTTTTCATCCCGTTACGTCTTAATGGATGTGAGAAGTATACGAGAGACGATGATCTTGCCTGAGGATGTTAATAGCGATTATTTGTCTTGTTTCTGGGGAGCAGAGTACGTGTACCAAGTGGATCAGGACCTGCAGGCAAGAGCACGTGTCGCCCTCGAGGCTGAGGAACGAGTTTTCCAGTCGAAAACCTGGTAAGTCACTAGGTTCCGCCTTCTATTCACCTACGAGGAATATCTCCAGGAAGAGAAGCCAATGCGATTAATAAATTCCACGTGTCCCACTCCGCCTGGAATAGAACCGCTTCAAGTAGTCCGGTATTAAAAGGACCACTCCTGGAAAGAGTAGTATCTCTTTCGGCTCTCTCGACTCTCACAACTCTCTTGACAACGAAGATTCCTTAGATCGTAAATTCTCTTGGGAAAAATATTAGCCTGTGGCTATCTTATCACTTTCCTGAAGAATCTAAAGATTTTGAGAAAGCCGGCAGATCAGAGTATTGCCAATCGGCGTCCAAGAGATTTTATAATCGTCAGTTATTGGTAAAAGGGATAAGTCAGGGAATAAACGAAGAATAATTTGAGTCCGGTTGTGAGAGGACCATGGGCACGAGAAGTCCAAAAATAGAAAAGAAATAAAATAGTCATAGTTGCCGAACAGGATAAATAAACCTTCCTACTCGGCTACTACGGATACCGGCTAGACTACCGTTCTTTCCATCGCGGCCATGAAAGTAAAAGTCCCGGAAAGGGCGTAAAATAAAAAGAGGCCGCGCTAAAACGGGAGTCGTTAGTAGTCTCAGTTGATTGCGGTCGGAAACGGCCAGAGCCAAGTGGTGTCAGAGGACAGGTTTGTTGTCGCCAGCGGCAGCGGCGGCATCACGACGTAGAAAGGAAAACGCGGAAATCGAGTAGATCAGGATGTCTGAATGATCGCTTAACCTTCTTATTTTTCTTTTTTCTCTTTAAATAGGTTGCAAGACCGTGTTTCCACCAATGGAACCCTCTGTGCAGTGACAGACGAACGGCCCTGCCCACCAAGCAAATATCGAGCACCCTCAGGAGCGTGTAACAACATCAGACATCCAGCATGGGGTGCCCGAGGATCTCCCTTTCTGAGATTTTTACCTGCGACTTACTCAGATGGTAACGCATCCATTCAAAAGCTCGTCACCCATTCTAATGGATTCAAGTGAACTGATCTATCTTTCTCACTCTTCCTTCCCCACTGAGAATTATTGGGTCAGGAATGGAAAGTAAAACTTGAAATGCAAACTAACGTGGGGTAACGAATCATAAGCAATACCTCTGCTTATTGACTATAGTACTCGTATCTACTTCCTTTTTTCCTTTCGTTTAACCCAGTGCTTGCTAGTGCTCTAGTCTACTAGAAACGAAGATTAAAATTCAGGAGCCACCTTAGCTGAAATAGAGAGTCGCTATTGCGACATGTTTTGAAACGAGTGACGTGCCTATGTAAGCGCACGCGTGCATATGTGCGCGCGTGAGTTTCATTGTTATGGAAAATTTAAACTTTTTTATGGGGCCATCATTAACATGACTTCAATCGTGTCGTGTAGACTAACAAGAAGCCATTAGGCTTGTAGTAAAAGTGAAGGAGCACGATAGGGCGTGTGTCCGCCGCGAGCTATTCTCGTGCACGATCCCGTCGAACGAAAATATGAAAGTGAGAAGAGCGAAGAAAGTAATGCCGCGCAAATGTCCACCGGTGTGGACACCTTGTCGTCCGAGTCTTCTGACCCCAAAATAGTGAAATGTCCTCCGTCACTTTTTCACTCTCTTATGTGCTCGCTCGCTCTCACTCCCTCTTTCTCTATATTTTTCACGTGCTGACACGCACGCAAGCACATAAAGGTGCAGCCACGCACGGATTCATTAGCCTAGACTTTTTCAATCTCACCTTGGAGTTTTCAAGCAATTCCTCAAATATCATTAGGCCAAGTTCATATCACACTGAATGCTTTTCACTCTTAGTCGTAATAGAAGACAGTGATACTTAGTGTCAAGGCAATATGGAAGAAAAAAACCTAACAGGGTGTTACTTTCATGGAGGCACGAATATTACCTTTCTATCCATAATAGAGTAATAAAAGTGAAAGGTGAGAACGAAGAGCCGAGAAAAATCAGTAAATAAAAGTTAGAGAATGTACTGTCACTTTACTAAAAAATGAACTATTTGTATTAAAAGAAAACTTGCTAGATAAACATTAATATATAGTATATTAAGGTAATGATGCATATATTTGCTCTTCTACAGGCATTGCTGGACCCAGACAGTCATTGAGCAGCCATACCTTGCCAAGTCCCACCGATGCGGTCTCAAAGATTCAAGCCTCTCAGGGAGACGCTATTCTTCACGAAGGATTAACAAGCCTATCTGGAGTCTGGTCGGAAATTCTGCTGAGAGATATTGCCTGGACAATCCATCCTAGTTATCCAGAAAGCAAGTGTTGTGATTCTGACAAGAAACACCCAGAGTGTTATGAGGACGTCGATTCTTCAGGAATTTGCAAGAGCTACTTCCGCTCGGTACCTACATTAAGTGCGCATCTTTGTAAATTCGAAGGCAGAGAGCAGATGAATGCCGCTTCCGGTTACTTGGACGGTTCTGATCTCTACGGTAACACCGACGAGCAACTTCACCGACTGAGAACGTACAGTCATGGCAAGGTCGATCTAGGTGCGTGCCAAGTTTGCAACTGCTCGGATTCTGCTATTGGGCATATCTACACGGCGTTTCTCCTCGAACATAACAGACTCGCTGACAAGCTGGCTGAGGCTAATGATCATTGGGACGATACCAGAATATTCCTGGAAGCACGTCGCGCGGTAGTTGCTCAGATACAGCACATTACTTTTAACGAATTCGTGCCCAGCGTGCTGGGGGAGGCTGCACTTGTGGATCAAGATGTCAGACCGATAACCAGCGGTTTCTACATGGGTTACTCATCTACCAATCGTGGTGGAGCCTTCGACGCTGTTGCCTTGGCAGCATTGCAAGCACTGACTTCGTTGCATTATAGAAGAAATGGGGCAAAAACTAATTTGATTGATCTTGTTGTAAATCCTGCAAATTATGTGAGTCTTGGAATCAGTCGAGATTCTCTACGCTACGTCGGCCCTGGTCACTGGGAACCTAGTAAACTTCTCATTCATATGGCTAGAGATCATGCCCTACCCGGCTACGTAAGCTTTCTAGAACTCTGTTCAGGAAATGGAAAACCCGGCAACTTCTCTGAATTGCACAGTGTAATGACCATTAGCAATGCCAATCTTCTTGAAAGTATTTATAGTACTGTGGACGACGTGGATCTTCTTATTGGAGGTATTCTTGAGACACCAGTAGGAGGTGCTGCTGTCGGACCAACGTTTACCTGTTTGCTTAAGAAGCAGTTCGCCAAGCTGAGAAATTCTGATCGATTCTGGTACGAGAATGATCTTCCACCGTCGAGTCTTAGCAGTGAGCAACTGTCTGAAATCCGAAAGGTGTCGCTAGCTGGAATTATATGTGCCAATTTAGGAATTGCCAAGATACAGTCTAATGCCTTCATCCAGCAAGATCCTTACTTAAATGTGAAAATCAAATGCGATCAGCATAATATTTTGGATTTAAGTCCCTGGCAAGAAGCTCCCACTCCGGTTCCTATACTGGACAACTCGATGGTACCGACAGTTTCGTCCCAGATCGCCTCTGAACTGAGTCCCGATATTATAGCTGCTGCCATAAGAAAGGCTAAGGAGGATCTTATAGAAAGAAAGCAGCTGGAGTATAATTCATGGCTGGAGCAAAGGATAGCCGACCCTAAATCACCAACGGGAACTGCAGCTAGTTTCTCAAAGGCCAACAAGGATGCTCTGTTACTAGCCAACTCGTCGATTCTCTATGAATTGGCAACGAATGAAATTGTCAACGGGGTTCATGGACTGCGACGAAGAAAACGTCAGATTTTTGATAACAGCGATAATGTTTTGGGATTCCCCAGTAGTGACTTTTCAGACATACTCCAGAACGTAGACATTTCTGGTCTTTTACCTGGTCATAAAGAGATCAGCTCTGACGAAATTGAATGTCCACCGGATGAAGGTCCTTGTGACCCTACGACTCCATACAGAACACTCACTGGATACTGCAATAACTTACGCAATCCTAACTTAGGAAAATCTCTAACAGTCTTCGCCAGGCTTCTACCTCCGGTATACGAAGATGGTGTATCAAAGCCACGTACAACCTCAGTTACCGGAATACCCTTGCCTAACCCTCGAGTTATCTCGACTGTCATTCATCCTGACATTTCGAACTTGCATAACCGTTACACCCTGATGGTGATGCAATTCGCACAGTTCCTGGATCACGACTTAACAATGACACCAATCCACAAAGGATTTGCTGAATCTATTCCCAGTTGCAGATCCTGCGACTCCCCTAGAACTGTTCATCCCGAATGTAATCCTTTCCCCGTGCCTCCCGGTGATCATTTCTATCCGACCGTAAACGTATCGTCCGGTGCCAGGATGTGTTTTCCATCAATGAGATCTTTACCAGGCCAGCAACACCTTGGTCCTCGTGAGCAGGTGAATCAGAACACAGGATTCCTGGATGCATCCGTCGTTTACGGAGAAAATAATTGCATTTGCAATAACCTCCGTGGATTTAATGGGCGCATGAACATCACTCTAAATCCTACTCGCGGCAAGGACCTTCTGCCACAGTCGGCTACCCATCCTGAATGCAAAGCTCAATCGGGATATTGCTTCATCGGCGGAGACGGTCGTGCCTCCGAGCAACCAAGTCTTACCGTAATACACACAATCTGGATACGTGAGCACAACAGGATCATGGAAGGATTCCGTCAAGTGAATCCTCACTGGGACAGTGAGAAACTTTTCCAGCAAACACGCCGTGTAATCAGCGCCATGTTACAGCATATCGCTTACAACGAATTTCTTCCAAGAATACTTGGCTGGAATGCAGTGAGCCTCTATGGACTAAAACTCCTTCCCCAAGGATACTACAAGGAGTACTCGCCCACCTGCAATCCCAGTGTTCTGAATGAGTTTGCCGCAGCAGCCTTCAGAATAGGACATTCCTTATTAAGACCGCATTTACCACGTATGGACCGGAATTATCAGAATGTAGATCCACCTATACTCCTGAGGGATGGTTTCTTCAATCCCGATATGCTCTATCAACCTGGAATGATGGACGAAATGACCCGGGGGCTCGTGGCTACTCCCATGGAGACTCTTGATCAGTTCATAACTGGTGAAGTAACTAACCACCTCTTTGAGAACCGTAGAATACCACACTCTGGAGTCGACTTGATTGCATTGAACGTCCAACGAGCCCGCGATCACGGAATACCCTCGTACAACAACTACAGAGCACTGTGCAATCTGAAACGTGCCACGACCTTTGAAGATCTTTCGCGCGAGATGGCGCCCGAAGTGATCGCCAGGATGAAGAGAATCTACGCATCCGTGGACGATATTGACCTCTTCCCCGGTGGCATGAGTGAGCGGCCTCTCCAAGGTGGACTCGTAGGACCAACTTTTGCCTGCATCATTGCCATACAATTTAGACAGTCGCGCAAGTGTGATCGTTTCTGGTACGAAACTGATGATCCCAATATTCGCTTCACCGAGCACCAATTGGCTGAAATCAGAAAAACGACGTTGTCAAAGGTGGTCTGCGAAAACATGGACCACCCGTCCGATATGCAAAGGGCGGCGTTCGATCTGCCAAGTAACTTCTTGAACCCCAGGGTGCCATGTAGCTCCATGCCACATATGGATTTCAGTGCTTGGAAGGAAACGAGACATGGATGCCAGATTGGCAATAGAAACGTTGGAATCGGGGAGTCTGGCTTCCCTACACCCTGCACTAGTTGTGTATGCACTGCCGAAGGGGTAAGCAAAGATATCTGAAGTAAAGCCTACGACAAGGACGTTCTTATACCGTACAAAGAAAAAAACTAATTACTTTTTCTTTTCCAGACGCAGTGTGCCTCGCTGAGAGTGACCGATTGTAATCAGTTACTCCGAGAAGCTTCCCGTGAGGCAATCCTTAGAGATGATGTCTGCACAGCCCAATGTGGCTTTGTCCTAGCAGCCTCCGAAGCCTCTTCCAGGCTACAATTTACTACGCCAAGCACATTTGGAGGATTCCCACCACAGACGAACAACCTTAGAAGCTCACCGACTCCTGCGTCATTTAATGGCTTTAAACTTCCAGACTTGTCGCAATTTATTGGTTGAATGTAGTACTTAGTCGAAGTCGTAGAGGGTGTGTTAATGTGCAATTGTTGTGTGCATGGATGTGTCTGTGTAGGTTCACATATTTTCCTGCCGTTCACCGGTCGCCTGAGAATTAATTGAACAAGCAAATGAAATGGTACGAAAAACAATTAATATGAAAATATTGTAGGGAGAAATGTTCGAAAGAGTGTAAATATAGATGATAAGTGCAGTATATAACGTTAATGACCGAAAATCGAATATATTATCTTTTGTTAATAATCACGTTTATGTGTCTTCTTCTGAACGTACTTTAATATGACTCTCCTGAATTGCAGCTCAACTTTGAGGGCACACTAATTATTATGGAGTTATTAAGCGCGCCTTAAACTGCCAGATGAGAAAAAGCAAGAGATGTGCCTATCTTGAATTGTCTAACTGTCAGGATCTTCGTATGAAAAGCAATATGTACTTTCAGTGACAACTGAGGAATAGAATGACAGTTGGAGATACGTCGATTGAGAGAGCCACAGAGAGAGAGATAGACAAAAATATCTATTAAATTCTAGAGCACTAGATCCCCTAAGAACTAGTTCACAAAATCGATAGGAATCGTGTAGAGAATGAAAAATAGAGAAGATTTTAGTAACACTACTACAGCATAAATGGGAGCAAATCTCCTATATGCTGAAGTAATAGGAAAGTGATAACGGACATATTATTAAGTACTACTAAACTTAGTACTACCTTCAATAATGCAGCTATTTACAAGCAATAAACCATATGAGGACTAAACGATAGGTCGGCGAAAAAGTTAATTAAAACAGCGACAATATCTCTGGATTTTACACAAGATTCGAAATAAATGAAAAAATCGAAAATAAAAACAAATTTGATCACATGAAAATTGGTAGAAATAAAGAAATAATAATGTTAAACTGTAGGACTTCAATATGAGGAATGACCATGAGCACCAGGATCCAATCTAAGAGACATTATTCCGATATGAATCTGTTTAGTGAACAAAAACAATTTCTACAAGGATTCTATGTATCATGAGGAAAACGGCATAGCTGAGCTGAGACGATCCGTAATGTTAAATGGCTTTCAAGGATTTAAGAATTTTGAGTTTCTCAGATTTAGGACACAATAGGAACAGTAGGTTACGCGGAGCAAATAAATTAAATAAATCAATTAAAAAACTTTAAAAAATAAATTTACGTAGAGTCCATTTGCAATCAATAGTGATCTCAAAATTGCTGTGAGATATGCTCTCTTAATTTTCACATAAAGATTGAAGAAGTCTTGATTTTTTTTTCTTATACAAACTACCATTTATAGTTTCAAGAATATAGCGGTCGATATAAGAAACTACTAGGTTGAATATTAATCTTTGCCGAGAGACAACAGGAAATAAGTTTAAAAGAAAATCTAATTATTTATAGCTTGTAGTAAAAGTTTACTTAAGTCATTGTTATGTACATGCTGGTCCTATAAAAGTTTCCCTGTATAAAATGACTTATTAAGTATGCATTAGGTGGCACAATAAATTATCAACTATTAATTCTGATAGTCAGAAAAATTTCAGGGTCACTTATATGAATACAATCACTGTGACTTATCATGACGTAAGTTTCAGTATTATTTGTATGCAGATCACATAAATTAACATACTGATCGTTCGATGCGACGTATCTTAGCCCTATTAATATGAAAACTAAGATCCGTAAAAAAGTATTTACAAGTGAATTTATAAACCATTTGTATGGAGTAGGGGATTACAGCAGATTAAAAGGACAGTCAGATCCAGGATAAAAGTAATGAAAAAATAATGATGTAGAGTGTCAAAGTTGTGGTATACTTCAAGAGACTTGAGTCTCTTTGAGTCCATCACGGAAGTATACTGTTTCTATCAATGACAACCTGACGACAATGATAGTATCCATAAAATTATTTCAAAGCCGAAGGTGAAACATTTATTAATATAAATTTATATAGTGAAAGTATGTCACTTGCCCTTCTGAAGGCCTCACATCACACAAACAGTGAATGATGTAGCAATTACAAGTTGTAAATTTTAAAAGGTGATTATGCTTTGTTTTTTAAATATTAAATTCAGAGTGCAACTGCAGTATTTTATAATCGGATTTTATGAGCAAGTGGACTGATACTTCGAATAAACGACAAGGAGAGGAGCTACATTGAGATAATGGATAAATAGACAGGCAGATAGATAGACACGTTTGTTAATGTCAAATTACTCTTCTATAAAAATTGTATTTTGCAGTCATGGTATTTTTTTGCGAATTCCCGTACAGAATGGTATATTTTTTCATTACACCTCTATATATTTTCGTAATACGATATAATATGACACATGCGTAACATGTTAATAAATGTTAATGTTTACTTTTTTGTAATAAATAATCGGCTCACGTGATCGCGAGCGGAAGGCAGTCGGCCATCCCATTATCCATTACATCCTTTGATCCTTTCAATTTACAGGAGAAAATTCTGAGACGCGCACATGCACTCACAGGCACCTCTCGAATTTCTCTATGCTCCTATAAAGGTATCAAGGAAGTGAATCCTGGCACCAGCTGGCTGACCTCGATATGGTCAAGCCACGAGATAGGAAGAGGAAGCGATTAGACGTTTCATTGTCACAAGAGAAGTTCGAGACTTTTGCGCATATGTGTGAATTGTACAGATAAATGTACAAAAGGTTTTTAATTTACGTTTGTTATGATTTTCCAAGATGTTCATACCGTGTATTATATTTTACACAATTTTGAATAATTTTCTTGCGCTCCAGTCTTTTAAATCGCATTCTTCCTTATTTGCTGTTGCTACTGATTCGACGTCGCGATACACGCACTCACGTATCCACATACTATTCCCTCTCTCTTTCTTATCCTTTTTCTCCTAGGCCTATGGAGAAAATTTTAGGAAAGATTTGTCAAAATATCTAGCTTGCTGGGACCTCTTGCTTATTGTTGATCACTGCGGAGTTTTCTTGCATTACAGGTGTCTGTTCTATACAACGCCAGAGTCCATATGTTTTGCCAATTGTTGTTTGCCAGAGCCTCAGGGTACCGTCCTCGGACCCGCTGGCATACAGTTCGCCATCCGGAGAGAAACGTACGCAGTGTACTGGACCAAAATGTCCTTTGAATGACTCTAAAGGTACAAAATAAAAAAATATATGCACTAACTGAATAAAACGAGTATTTCAAGTACACGTCAGTAACAGATTGTCCTTGGATACAAGCGCGTATACTTTTACAAATATCCATACTACGACCTTATTGGTGCGGCCAGAATTATTGCCATTACGTTCTCCTTAATATTTATCTATCAATCCATTCAACTATCTGTTATACTCTATTCACAGATTATTTCGAAGTAAACAGTTTTGCATGCTTACCAATCTCAGCTCCAGTACTGTAATCGAACTTGTACATCTTGAGATCTTCTCCACCACAGACAAAGATGCTGCAATCTGGATGCAGGCTGGCACTGTTCACTTGCGTCGGTACGGTAAACTCACGAATTTTTGTAAGTCTGTGAAAGAACGTATCCGAATTGAGTATCAGGTGGAGGTAACCCTGGTATGAGTGACGTTGCAAGGAAATGTTCGGAAATAAACAAGACTCGGACTTCCTGATAGGTCAAGGATAACGCGATCGCGCTCAGGGCCATACACGATCAGGAAGTTAAATGCGCGCGTGTCTTTATTCACAACTACACAAGGGAGACCTTTTTACCTTCGATTCTTATTCCCTACAAGGAGTGTGTTTAATACTTTTACATTTTCTGCATCTTTACTTACTCTTTGCTGTCCCAAAAGGTTACCACATTTGAGTGTGTGGTAGTGATAACATTTCCATCTCTGGACACTTCCATGCTACTGGGAATTGCTGGGAAATCAAGTCTCATTGTCTCCTGACCACTAGCTCTGTCCCAAATACGTAGGGTCTTGTCATCAGCACAGCTTACCAATGCAGTATTGTCTTTGAAGAACGTGACATGTTTGATACCACCACTGTGGCCTGAGAACACCTAGTAAATGGATCACATTTTATTTTCATAGATTACGGATACTCTCATTTCCCTTTTTCATAGCCGTTACAAAAATAGAGATAATAACAAACCTGTGGCGTGCTCTCGGGTTTGTTAAGATCATAAATCCGAACAAGCTTCTCATTGGAACCAGTACAAAGATGATTTGAATCAGAACTAAAGTTGACAGACTTGACAATATGATTATGTTGGAATGAATGAATCTCTTCTCCTTTTATAGCATCCCAGACTTTGGCATTGAAATCAGCAGCCCCAGTAGCTGCTCTCGTAGCCTCTGGATTTAAGGCAACACCCCAGACTGCTCCCTTATGTCCCTCAAACGTTCCAATCCAATCCCCAGTGTCACCCTGTCGTAGCATAGGTTTACCATCTGGAATGACAATCCATGTTTCAAGGACAACAAAAGCAAAGATACAATATGATCCCTAGGGAATTCCCATACTGTTCCATACAAATGAATTCTGAACATGATATTCAGGGCCTTGGGGAGAGGACTAAAGTGGGCCAAGGTAATCAAGTGAAATAACAACTCAAACGACCATGAGATATAGAAGCATCTGAAACATCTTGATTATTCTTTATAACGTACCCTTGCAAGCCGAGATAAGGTAGTAGCCGGATTCCGTGACGTCGGAGAAGGCGAGGTGTACCACGGGCCTCGTGTGACCGCTACACGTGAGTGGTGTTTGTCTCAAATTCGCCATTATTTATTTCTTTACCAAAGCCGTGAGCGACACCCGACTGCCGAAAGTGCCACACGAGCCCACACTCGACGAGGATAAATAAATAACGATCAATTGAAATTGAGAGTCGTCTCAATAATGATGGAATACTCTCTTCGATAGACTAACAATCTCTCGATATCTACCATATACAACCGACACGGAGCGCGACTGACGCGATACTGATCCTAGCAAGCCACAGACGATACTCAAAAACCCGATCATAGCGACTGATCTAGATTGAATATGACCATCGTAAAGCTTATACGATCCTCTAAAAGATGGCGAATTGCAACGTATCCCCACCAAAAAAAAGATTTTAATATGCTTTGTAGACCTTCAACTGATAAAATAAAAAAATTTCGAGGACACCATGTAATATAATACCTATAATATACTTAAATCTATGAAATTTATCTTGAAGTGCATAATATAAAAAAATGCTTGGATATTTAATATTATGTAGATAAGTGTCTGGATTTTACCTACGCCATTGACTAAATAAATTAACTATGTTCCACTTTGAAACTTGAAGTTTTCATGAATTTATTAGTCGTAACCTAATGTAAGCAGTTAAAATAAGTGATAGATTAATCGTTACTAATAAAATTGAACCTCGATAATGAGGTTCATCCAAATGTTCACCAAATTTCATATACATGGTCATGTTTTTTTACTTACTGAGTTTCTCCAAACCAATCGTTTTTACCGACTGTTAGATTTTGGCAAGACGAACTGTCAGTTTCGTTGCAAATATATTTACAATATTATTAAAAGCCGAATCGAGAGCAATATAGTTTGTTATTCTCAAAAATTATAATTCTTTTTTATTCATACTTTAAAATTATAAACTGGTATATGTGTCTGTGGTATACGCTTTAGCTTTTTGTGAATAGTATTCATCTGTAACCTCCTTTTTGGCATAATTGTGGTGATAGTAGTAAACATGAGTGATTACAGCGTTGTTACCTCAGATTTTGTTAAATTAACAATTACGAATTCCGGTAATGATACGTGTTGTGTGGAACGAAGGTTTCAAAAAGGACAAACAATTGATGAGTTCAAGGTAGATTGAAAATTGATTTTGCACATAGAAGGGTTGCAATAATATTACTTTATAATTTCAGGGTAGACTTGAGTTGCTAACAGGAGGTAACCCGGCAACAATGACCCTCGAAGTCTATGATAAAAACGATAGTTTAGTCTGCAAACCAAATGAAGGTCAACGTCTCTTAGGTTCATATCCTATTGACGATGGCATGCGAGTTCATGTAAGACCTTATAATATTAATTAATTACATGAGAATTAATAAAGTTCATAATGTCGCTAGACGATTTGTTTAATATAATATGAAATGTGTTAATAAATTTGTAAATTTTAAATTACTATAGGTTGTAGACAGTTTTCTAAAAAGTCAAGATGATGTTGCTGATGTAGAAAAGTTTGAAATATCAGAGGAGGAATATGCAAAGAGATCAGGTAATTTATAGTTAGTGTACTTAAATGTATTTCTAGTTAATTTTATATAATAAATTCATCATCAATCCTGTAATATAATCTTGTATACTTCAGACACAGTTAAAGCTTTCCTTGAGAAAAATAGACTGGGAAAGTATAATGAGGAAGAAATGAAACGAAGAGCTGAAGAAAAAAAACGTCTTGAAGAAGCAGAAGAAGCTGCAGCACGTAAGTGTAAAATTGGAGATCGCTGCGAAGTTCAAGTTCCCAATCAGCCAAAACGAAGAGCAACAGTTATGTATGTCGGTAAGAACTAAATAATACTAGAATTGTATTTAGTTAAATGCTATGTCTTATCTTCATGTTAAAAATTTCACGTTTTTTGTAGGAAAGACCGATTTTAAAGAAGGTTGGTGGATTGGCATAAAATATGATGAACCACTAGGCAAAAATGATGGATGGTAATTAGCAATTTTTATATTATAAAAAACATATATTCGCATTTTAATTACTTTTCTTCATTTGTCTTTACATATATATTTTGATATTTTAGTGTCAATGGGAAGAGGTATTTTGAATGCCCACCGAAATACGGTGGATTTGTAAAGCCTGCATACGTAAAAGTTGGAGACTTTCCAGAAGAGGATTTCGACCTGAACGAAGAATTATAAACAGTATAATCATGACAGTTAATAAAATGACGTTTTTATTTGTTCTGAAAAAATCCCACGTGTGAAAGTCCGTCGTATGAAATGTCATTAAACGTATATGTAATTCATCTAATATTTCCTTCGCTTAATTATGTCTGGCCTCCAGTTAACAGGATGGCTTTCTTCCGTCTGGAACAATATGAGTTAGTTCGATTAATCAAGTGTTAACCGAAGTAGTGTAGATAATACACATTGAGATATTGTGAGTGTAATTTGTACACTACTATATGTTTTTTACAATTAAATACTAAACAAAATGGAGCACATAAAATTAAAATGATAGTGCATAAATAGTTTTAACAAATGTACACAGCATATACAATGCATAAGATAAACGTATATAGATAATACTGACCGCAGTATCGTCTTCCTTATAAACTTTTATCGTTTTATCAGCTTCCGTAGTGATCATGCGAGTACCTGACACATCAAAGGTAATACTGAATACTCCAGCTTCACTATCCATAGATCCGGGTTGGACTGGTGCTTGGAGACGTTGGAAATTATACCTTGAAATATATACAAATATTAAACGTAATTATTGACTTGGGTAAGTTTGTGGATTACAGTAAAAAATTGAATTACTTACCCTGTTCTCCAGTCCCACAGATGCATGGTGCCATTATCAGCACCAGATACTAACACGCCATCTGCGTTAACTGCCAAACAGTTAACAATAGCATTGTGTCCAGATAAATTTTGGATGAATTTTCCCTCAGGGCACTTCCACTGCTTTATATTGTCCGGCGAGGCCGAAGCAAACATATATCTATAAGATCACAAAGTAGAGCAGTGATAAATATTTATAATGTAATATAAATACAATAATGAGAAATATTTATTTACTTACAGATTTGGATGGAATGTCACAGACCGAACACTCTTCTTGTGATTTGTAAGAGTAGCTCTAGATTTTCCAGCAGCCAAATCCCAGAGTCGTATAGTACAGTCATGACTGCCCGTAACAATCTGATAAATGAAATACTTTCATTGCATGATGCATATTAAATAAAAAAAAAAATTATGATGGCGCAATACTGTACCTGTGGTTCTGCTGCTTGGCAAATAACACTAGCGACTGTATTAGTATGGCCAACGAGAGTATGAACATTGGCCTTGGTTCTCATGTCCCAAACTCGTCCAGTCGAATCTCGACCAGCAGTTACTAGAACATCAATACTTGGATGCAATGCCAGAGAGTAAACAGCTGACAGATGACCATGGTAGTGTCTGATGACCTGTGACATTTAAAAGTACATATTATATATTTCAATAAAGTTCTCAAAATACCTCCCGTGCAATGTTACTCACTTTGTTGTACTCCAGATCCCAACATTTCACTTGACGATCCTCACCACAAGAAAATAAATAAGGATGTCTGTGGGAAAATGCCAACCCTCTTACACTACTAATGTGTCCAGTTAAGGAGACTTTTAGTTTACCAGATCCAAGATCCCAAATCTGTGAATATCAAATTTATAATTTATATTATTTTTTCAAAGCATGATATTTAGAGAGAGAGTTTGTTGTATCTTACTTTTATTACTCTGTCTGCAGAACCTGTTGCAAAGTATTCATTTCCAGGCTCAACGGCACAACAGCGCACCCAACCAAGATGACCACTGATAACTCTGCATAATTTCCATGGTGCATGCCACTTGGGTTTAGCCATAGATGGGGTTTTTTTCTGGGGCAGTGTTAAAGTACCACTTGAATGATTACTTGATGCTGCAGGTGTTGCTACAGCAATTCCACTTGGTCCTGAACTATAAGCTACAATGGCTGTACTCATGTTACCACCAAAGGATTCATCTGGAATATTTATTTTGTATGTAATAAGAACAATTTAAACGCACTTTCTTTTAAAATACTTTAAATAATATATTGTTCTTACCGCCTGGTGGAGGGGGATCTGAAGAATCGTTTTCATGCTGTGCTCTAACTATATTATTGTGTCTAGCACGTTCCAATACCGGACCATAACAATCTTTGGCTTTGATACTTTTTTTCACTTTTTCTCTAAAAAAAGAATCTATATATACAAATTGTAGCTAACACTAATGGCTATTATCTTGACCTTTGGATAAAATTTATCCGGTGGATAAACTCCTAAAACATGAAAATAATTGGTTAGCTGAATATTTATCTGCAAGATAAATTTTATCCGAAGGCGAAGAAACTGACTATAATGAGGTTCAGTATTAAATAAATCATTTTAATATCAATAATTTATGGTAACAATTATATGATTAAAGTAAATTTATATGCAACTTGATTACAATTTTAGTTATAGGATAGGTGTTAAAACGAACTAAATACACTTACAGTTCAAGATCCACTGGTGGCAAATTGCCTTGGTTTGACAAAAACATATCATGTGTACGTTTCAGTGACCGAAACACAAGTGTGTGCACAGAATGTCGTTGTACGTCCTATAAAAAGAAATACGTAAAGAAAAATGAAATAAAATACTTTAAAGAAACATAAACGTGAAATTATATATGAATATGAAATTATGAAAGTTATAGATGGAACGTTAAATAGGTTTCATTAAGTTACTTTACCATTTTGAAATTCCTTTATATGTTCAGCGTCCACGTCTAAAATATAAATTCGCGTCAGCGTTAGTCCATATAGTATTTATGTTAGCACATTTATTCCTGTCTACTAATATAAGAATCCAAATGGAAGATTAGGTTATAAACACCTTTAAATAACACACATGCCCCCTAATTCGAATTCATACATGCACATTGTAGGTGGCTGCAGTGCAGAGGAACAGTCGATATTGGAATACAGGCCAGAGTACGCTAGATGGCGCTGGAGAGTTCGTAAATTTCATCGTTGACTGAAGATAAATAGATTTGGGCAGTCAACGGTATTGTATTCTCATAACGCCTGGAATCTTTTCATAAGTAGCGAAAGATGGCAAATAGTCAGTGCTCGACGTTGAAGAAGTGCAGCTGGAAAATGGCGGCACCCAGCTGTAGTATGCGTGAATGTGTTTTCCTTGGATTCTGACGTAGGGCGCCGACTCACATACTTGCAGGTGACATATCCAGCGTGAGATTGGTTTAGTGACTTGTCAGGCTCAGCCGTGGATGGACCGATATCGTATTCAACCAAATTTCAACAATTCTTTAAGCGGCTGAAGATTCCAGGAGGTTGTTCGTAAGAAGGTAAGAGCAGTACAAAAGTTTGCATGCACGGAGATTGCGAAGCCACGAGGTATTCAATGACCTTTTTCCATATTTGGCCATACACTGTGAGCCGACTCGGCACGACTCGTCTGACATTTTTACTTTTTACTTCTCGGATGTCACATTTTTCTAAATATATATACATACCGATACAATTTAACGTATATAATCACAGGATCACAATCATTTCAAAGGTTCGATAAGAAAGCATAAAAATGTCATTTATTTACCATAGTATTCACCTTCTACATAATATTCGACATATATTAAATTTGATAACCAATTCAAAATTCCTGTTTTATATATGTATTCTAATAGGTTATGTCCAAAAGCTACAATAATGTAGCTAACGGTAACGTGTGATTATCTCTCTCTGGCGATACACAGATGTAGCATACGTGATATCGACAGATACAGGCTCGTGCCGATAATGAATTGGTTTATCGATTGATGTATCCAATGGAAGTGTCTGCAATCTGTTCATAATTATACAGAACACACTACCAACGCTTTCTTCTTTCTTCGATAATTCACATTACGCCATACAACATGCATAGGTCGCATTTTCATAGAGATCGCTTAAGGGCATTGTGCACGTTCAAATTGCCAGAATAGTTTCGCGCGAGAGACGGTTACACTACTCAACTTGCGCGTTGTGCCACTTGAATCGAATGAGATCCGAGTACATCTCGTGCTCAAATGCATAAACCTAACGAGCCCAGAACGTAGAAAAGTGGGCCATTGTGATTCAACATATGTATCATACACGTACAATGCATATAAACACGGACGCTTCGTTTAAACTTGACTAATAAGTACCCAAGGTCTTATTTATTAAAATTACATTATATATAAAAATGACCTCGATGACAATTGCTTTCAAGAGATATAAATAATAAAAATTGTCCCAAATGTATCTGCATATAGAAATGACAGAAATTTTACTATCGTTCATCTCCGTGTCCCTCGAGCTGTTTTTAACGATTGGAGCTCAGTGATAGGGTCGTATGCGACTTAATTTCTTTCATGTTGATCATCCAATCTCTATACGTTACTCCGTTTTCTTTATGAATCATAGATTTGTATCTCTGAGTAATTTCATCCCTTTCTCAATAAATTCAATCATATGCATTTTATGTCTAAATATGTGTTATATGAGACTGTACTTCAAGGGATTGTCGTTCTAATCAACTTTCGTGTCAGTTTTATATTAAGTACATATTTATCTGTTTTTGACACAGGATATATGACACCGATGCCACTCGTACGTAATTAGGTACCTGTAAGGAAAGAAGACTCGTACGACAGACGTTAGCAAGGAACCTATTTATCAGGAACAGGTGTTTCATTCTTTTTCGTTGCGCGAGACTTTGTTACTGCCGATGTACACACGTGTGTATTATATTGGTGAATATTGACACGCATGACCTGACTGAGCCTCTCGTGGTGCAGCTGCAGCTGTGGCCTTGACGGCTTCTGAAATAAAGATTGTAGCAGGCGCTGGGATATACATATTTATTTTTGGATTCTTCTCCTGCAATCCTCTGTATTGACCAGTGCGCCAATATCACGTTTAGAGAAGTATTTTTGAAATTTAATATTTCTCATATGTTCCGAGTAAAATGTTTTATGCGACAAAACATTAGCAGTGTTATTCCTAGACGCGCATTAAATTCTTTATTCATTTCGCTTTCGTTTTAAACAATTTCAACACATTGTTTAAAGATTGTTTACATGAAAATGTATATATTTTGGTAAACGAAATTCCTAAAAAACAAAATTGCTAGGTATTTCATTATATTTTGACACGTGGACGTGTATGGACAGCCGTACAAAAAAATATACTTGTACTCTCTGATACCTTTATCGGGCATTGTTGCGTCTTTCAGAAATTTCTTTTGGTATCTTGTAGGGTATAATATAGATATAGTTTCCTACTGTCCTTTTTTTTTTTTTGTTAATAACTGATTGATTTTTGGCGAACTTCTTTTTTTATTTTTTATAAGGCCAATTTTACTCCTTTGAACCCATCGGCCAATTGAAACTCAAGGGAAAGCACCAATGGTATATCAATGTCTATTTACAAGATACACAGAGGCAGACCGGAAGATGCGACCGGATGCGCAGAGGTGCGTGAGTCAAATGCAAAGTTATTCTCGGCAGGACGATACGTGAGAGGTCGTTTAATATTCTATCGATACGCGTACATTTTACACAACCGTGTATTCGTAATTCGCGCAATCTCGATAACGTTACGTTTTTTCATCTTACTGTTAATGAATAATGGCATTATAAATTTGCGTACCTTATATAGGTATACACGAGAGTTTATCTGCAAGCTGAAAATCGATAATGAATTAAAGTTCCCGAGGGTGACGGTTGAAATTCTCGTCACTTACAGCCACGACCACCCACGTAGTAGGATAAATTTTGAACTCGCGGAGATTGAGCTATGTTTTCTCGTCTACGCTCAAAAATTGTCACCCTCTGTGTTTATGTTTCCAGTACGCTTTTTTAGAAAGGGCAACAGCTTCCCATTTTCTTTTTACAGCCAAACAGGATGCAGCCTATCCATTGATCATTTCTCGCGAGTTCTTATAATAATTTTAAAAACGAAACTACTTGCGATAACAAGCAGCTTTTTTTGATAAGGAAAATCCAATCAGGACCGTATGTATAATACATACGTGCATTAATTATATCGTCGTATGGACTAATTCGATAGCGCGTCTTAGGTATCATGCGCGTGCGATAATATTCCGAATTATTGTTCGACATACCGAATGGTAATGGACGGATTAGACGAGTTTAGTTTTTCTTCGCGGACGATCATATGGCGGGTAAAAAGTTTAAAAGAAAAAAATTTCAGATAAGTACCTACGTGAGAGGCACATATACAGATAATCCATGAATTGTAATGAACCAAATGTAGACCCTAGCGACATCTATGGGATAATTGACAAAGTTGATAGTAAGTGATTGTCTATAACCAGAAATCGGCCTTTGGTTGCCTGGTGTCGGCCCTTTCGCAGCAAGCCACATAGCCAAGTAGATTTAATATTCGTAATAAGGATATGGGTTATGAGTGAAGGAATTGGTCATGAGAGTTGATTTTATAGCGACCTCATTCACTCTAGTATTCTATTAAGCGATCAACACTCTTTTCTAGTATCGAAAATCATTTTATAGTCTTATGTCTGAAATCGGATATCTGTTCATATTTAAATATTTTCTGAATTTATAATACGTTTCTTTATTTAAAATTGCATTAATACTTGTTTTATATAAATTTCCTTGCGATACATAATTAGTTATTATAAAAGGCATAAAGTACATTACAGAATGATCTTTTTTTTTTCATTCCACATCTTTCGAGCAGGCTGGATGACCTCACTGTTGAAAACCGCTGATTTTTTTTTTCGTGATACACTGTCCGACTGGTACACTCCTTCTGCAACGTGCCTGTTTTCGTTTATAGACTTTTTTTTTCTCATTTCGCCGTCAGTCAAATGTCCTGCTTGCGATATTTCTGACGCCACGATAATTGGCCGAATGTTCGCGAGGCAGTCGAAATTTTTCGCCACTTTTTCGGTGTCTGGTCTGTTCCGCTTGTAGAAAATTAAATAAAAAATGCACAATTTTCAATAAAATTTTTTCGATATTGGATTCGATACTTGTACGCATACGAAAATTTGTTTGAGTTGGTAATGAAAATTTTTGCAAAAATTCTTATCGATCAGCCTGTTATAATTTAAACCGTAACGAATTACACGTTGATCTTGCAAAGATTGAAGGTTTTTTTTTTTTTTTTTTTATAAACCAGTTCGTCCCCTCCCAACAAACTGTATTCTATATTCGTACGGCCATAATAAAATTGCACTAAGCACGTGAACGTATGAAAAAGTTATTTCCCTTCCGCGAAACTGGTATCGCGCTTATTCGTAGAACAGGAGGCAGTTCGATAATCAATGAGCGCCGTAAAGTCGGGAGGGTCGACGGAAAGTCGATGTAAAAGTTCCTCGCGGGGCACTTTGTCTAACGTCGGGCAAACGACGGATTCATGAAAATAGCATACAATACAAGTTATTAACGGGGAATGAATGGCGCCTCTGTAGTCTCTGACCTTACGATAATGGCACCTTCTTTTTATTATATTAATAAACGCTGCGTTCTGGGTTCCTGCGTGAATGTTAAAAGAAAGAGAGCTCCTCCGTGCCATATGCCGGGATGTAGTAGAGAGGGGGAGCGGGGGGAGCGGGGGGAGCGGAGCAAAGCCAAAGAAAGGCGCCCTGAGGATTCATTCGCATCGCGCGATTCCCTTAGAAACCAGCAATCTTTTCATCGCGAGCCAATAAATTTATTCGCAATCGCACGCGGGATGTCAGATTTTTCTGGTCAAGTGACGTCAACTGTCATAATATACACCGACCACGTGCCCCTTCAAGCTCTTAGCCTTCGCCACTAATAAACGGCTTGATACTCCTTTTGACCGCACGACATATTCATATTCTATTAATCTCGAGGTCGAGGTCGACACTTTTATTCCTATTAGAATTTATGTTAGCTCACCGTAGGACTCGCCTAC